CTCGTGGAAAACGTCCGGAAACTCGCTAACCACCAGAACCTCAGCGACAGTACTTGGTCTCTCCGTAACATCCAGCGTATCTGACACATATACCAGAAAACCCATGCAACCCTGCTGCAAGCTCTGCCTCGCTCGAGCAGCCGAACAAAATGTTGACCCGGATCGGGTACCCTCGCTGAATACTGTAATTACTGCCCCACTACGGTTCCGGATGGTCACCAATTGACGCTCACAATTGATCATAGCCTCGAATCGACTCAACCAGTACATGCCCATGATGACACAGACATCCCCCATCGCGATAGGTACCAAATCTATCGAAAACTTGACTCCAAAAATCTCAAGCACACATCCCCGGATCACATCAGTCGCAAAAACAGCATGCTCATCAGCTATGGAGACTCTCAAAGGTCGACTCAACGCCTCACGTCGGATACTGATGTGACGACTAAATGCTAGCGATACGATGGATCGACTCGCACCTGAGTCAAACAACACCAAAGCAGGTACAGAACTCACAAGAAAAGTACCTAAACATATCACAAATAAGCACCATATATAACAAAAGAATAAGCAAAAGATCACATACCATCCACAACATCGGGTGCTGTGCGGACCTCCTCCGCTATCAACTGGAAGGCTCTACCGCGAGTCTTCAGTGCCTCGGCCTTCACGGGCCGACTCTCTGTAGCTCGAGTAGTAGAAGGCGCAGATCCCTGAAGAAATTGCGGGCACTCGACCTTCCTATGGCCAGTCTGGTTGCAATGGAAGCAAACCGAAAATCCCTTGGGGCAATCCCTCGCGATATGCCCCTCTTTCCCGCACTTGTAACACACACCTGCTCTGCACACCCCATCATGGCTCTTGCCGCACTTCCCACAAGTGCGGCCCTTCTGACCTCCCGATCTCGAATCAGCGGGCTTTGCCCCCTTGGCCACCGGTTGAGAATGTGTCGGCCGCATATCCCTCCTCTGAGACTCCGCCTCCTCCCTGGCCCGAGTCTCTAGCTCAATCTCCCTCTTCTGAGCATTTGCCTGGAGCTCGGCAAATGTTCGGCATGTCGAGTTCGCCACGAACTCGCGAATGTCTCTCCTCAGTATGCTGAGATATCGACTCATATGTGCCTGCTCAGAAGACACATGCTCAGGGCAAAACAACGCCCTCTCATGAAACATCCGTGTGATCACAGTCACAGACTCAGTCCCCTGCTTGAGGGACTAGAACTCCTGGGCCAACCGTTCCCTCTCCACCGGGGGAACGTACTCGTCTCGAAACATAGCGGTGAACCTCTCCCAAGTCAACGCGGTAAGCTCTGCAGTAGTAAAGTCAGCTGTCACAAACTTCCACTAGTCCTTCACTCCCAAGCGAGGCTGGTTCAGCGCGAACCGTACCCTCAGATGATCCGGACAAGAACATGTGTAGAAGCATCCCTCAATGTCAGAGATCCATCTCATCGCGGCTATCGGATCCTGAGTCCCATCAAACTATGGTGGCTTCGTGTTGCTAAACTCCCGGTACAGCAACGAGTCACCCCCTGTGGCCTAGCAGCGGCAACGGCTGCGGTGGCCACATCAACAACACCATCGATAAGAGCAGCGTACCGCTCGTCAAATGTCTCAATCAGCGTGGTCTTGATAGACTCAAACATCTCTGGTATCTCAGCTCGAATGGATGCAACCACCTCATCATGAATCATCATGCGAATCTCATAATCGCTAACACCGCTGCTCTCTGGGGTGTGACGCGTACCCACCATGATGTCTCTGAAACACAACACAAAAAGAAATCAGAGACTCGCTCGAGATTACTCACACTCGACCAACCGTTCCTACTTGTTCCTAGCACCCTGAGGATTCTTACTTGGAATTCTTACCGATCCGATGCTTTCAGTAGTACGGGCCCAATACTACCTTCCACATCATATCCGTATCCACCCCAAGTCCTCCTCCTAGGATCCCAACTCGCAAGTACTCTATACCACTCTGACTACAGCCAACTCTCTAGCGGACTCCTCATAAGCTACTTTCTGCTACCTAAGTGCACTCAAAGCTACTCACAACAGCAGAAACTCCTAGGCTAAGGCATCACAAATCAGGCCACTCTAGTCCTAACATATGAATTACCTAGCCTACTCTAGCATGCAAAACACATCTCATAATATCATAACACGTAAGGTAAGGGTATTTTGGGAAATCACCGTTCGAGAGCTGGCTGATTGTACACACTGCTCTTTTCCGCTTTTTCTGGAAATCTTTTACTCTTTTTAGAAAAATTGTTTCTTTTTGAAAACTTTTCTCAAATCCTCAGTTTGAGTCCAGATATGCCCGAAGGTGTATCCGAATCCCTCAAACCAAGGCTTTGATACCAACTTGTAACGACATGATTTTTCAAAACAATTTTTTCAATTTTAAAACTCATAAAACATATGTCTCATCATTAATTCTCAAAAAAAAAAAAACAACCAACAAGTTTTCAATACAATTATTCAAATCCAGGATCCACAATCATAGCTCCATATCAAGAGTGTGTGTACAATCACGCCGGTGCCTTCCCAAGATCCTCGGAAGTACCTGAAACACATAACACATAACACGGTAAGCACGAATGCTTAGTGAGTTCCCGAAAATACCACATACAACAATTCGCCACTCGAGGCTATACTCTGGAAGACCCTCCGGTCTATGTGTCTCAACGGGACCCTCCAGTCCCGTAGCTCGTTGGACCCTCTGGTCCGGTCTAGCTCGTTGGACCCTCCAGTCCGGTCTGATTGAGAACCCTCTGGCCTCATAGTTCGTTGGACCCTCCGGTCCGGTCTAAGCAACAAATAATATAGCATACAATACATATCCACAATCATGCATAACTCAAGCAAGAACATAAGACCCTCTGGTTACACATAATTACCACTCTAGGTAAAGTATAGTGAGAAGACTCACCTCGTAAGATAGCTAGTAAAAGTAGCCTGCCCGAAATCCTCGGTCTAGCCTCCGCCTATCACAAATTAATACTTCTAATTAATATTCTACTCTTATCTCTGAAACGTGGGTAGAAGACCATTCTACCCTTCCCTGACCTCTTTCACTCATTTTATCCAAACCCTAAAGTCAACAGAAGTCAACTCCAGTCAACGGTCCAACTTTGACCAGACTCGTCGAGTGCACTCGGGAGACTCGTCGAGTCCAGCCGATTCATGGCAACCCCTACAAGCTCCAACTCGACGAGCTAACCCCTAACTCGACGAGTCACCATCTGATTCAGGTGATTTCAAGGCAGAAAACTCTCTCACACTCTAGATCTAAGCTCTCAAGGCCTGAATATCACATAAAGCCTCGAGCTTTACGTTCATGCATAACACTAAAGGGCTAAAAATGCCAAGAACAAGCTTGAGAAGAAGTCTCTCATTCAAGGGGCTATCATGGCTGAATAAAGCAGGGGACTTTCGACTCTAGGGACCTCACAAGGTCCATATATGATGTCTATTTCTAAGAAGGTGCTCAAAACCTTCAAGTTCCCCAAAATAAGATGGAAATGAAGCCCTAACTCTAAAACCATGAGATCTATCCATACAAGAGAGAAAGGTATGAACTTTATACCTTGAATAGAAGCTCATGGATGTCTAAGCAGCAGATCTAGCAACTTCTTCACAATCCTTGCTTGGAATCCTCTTTCCCTCTACCAAAATGCACCAAAGATCTCAAACAATGGCTCAAAACTCTCTCAAAAGCTCAAGGGGCGATTAGGGTTTCTCTCAGTGAAAGGAAACAGATGGAGAGCCGCAAATGAGGCTATACTTATCCTTATATAGGCCCCAAACCCGACGATTTAGGGTTTCAACTCATAGCGCTTACTCGGCGAGTGTACTCCCGGACTCGTCGAGTAGATCACTAAACCCACGTGGCCATCCCGAGGCGAGTTATAGCACCAACTCGTCGAGTAGGTCAATGATCCTCAAAAATAAATACTTAAAATAACATACCTGGGAATCCGGATGTTACACATTTGATGAAAATACCCCTGCTTCCACATATTATATGATTGAAATTACAAATAAATAATATTCTTAGTAATAAAGCAATAATAAACTGAAAATTTTGAAGAAAATACCCCTGCCAATATATAAAGTACAAGGTGTACATGAAATTAATTTCCTAACTTACAAATTGAAATTACAATACATTGATAGAATTTATCTATAAAATTGGAGTAACTGTAAAGTGGGTTGTTAAACCAACACAATTATAAGCATAAAAAAAATGAAACCAAGGGCAGAGGGGTCATTTTCAATTTAGACCCAGTGTAATTTAAAGTCAAACCTGGTGTCATAAATCTTGTGTTTCAAGAGTCTTTTAAAGCCTAACATGTGCTTTTCAATAGAAGGTAAAGTACAATGTTTGAATAAGAAAAAAAAGACAAATGGTTGTTTTGTCAAATCAAATGAAACATATGAAACTGTGAATATACTACTATAAAAAATCCAACTTTTCAAAAGATAAACATTTGACGAAAATACCCCTGCTTCCACATAAGAAATGATTGAAATTACAAATAAATTACATTTGACGAAAATACCCCTGCTTCCACATAAGAAATGATTGAAATTACAAATAATTTACATTTGATGAAAAGGATTCAGACGATCCATAATATTGAAAGTACATTGCTTTATATATAACTTTAAACAAAACAAACTTTCAAAGTTTCTACTATAAAAATGCAATTTATGATAATAATTTTCTGATAAATATGAAATACACTCAAGAGTACAATGGAAAATTCATATTTTTTGATTAATTCACATTTTGCCCCTTTGACAGTTAGAATCAACACAACCATTAACATAAAGCATATAGACATATTATATGTATAACATTAAACAAAATAAGAATTTCAAAGTGCTTACACAATAAGATATTCTATTCCATCCAATATACACAACATATATACTTTGTCTTAAACATGAAATAGATTATTTCATCAAAAAAAAAAAAGATAAAGGTTTCCTACACTAAGTTTTGCCATGCAATAACATTCTCCTTGGCCATGTCCATTGCATCTTCCATCTTTCCTCTGGGAATGGTCATGTTTAGCATATGCTTGATGTATGCTATTACATCATCAACTGTTGCCATTGGGTGTTCTGTTACAAACATATGAATAAGCTTCTCAACTTTTTTGGATGGTGAGTTCATCAAGAAGTGGGGGGAATTGATTGGAACATATACAGGTCTGTGTTCAACATACAGATGTTCAATCTCTCGGAATTGGTGTGCCCTAACGATCATTTTGAAAGTTCCCAAACAGTCATCGTTCAAAATTGGAATCATGAACAAACCACAATTTTCTTCAGTTGGAATATGATACCAATTACCCATGGTTGTATAACCCAAGCTTTTGGAAAAACGAACAAGCATTTCCATGTTGAGCAAATGGATGTTGACAAAAGTAATAAAGTGAACTTTTGTCTTTTCATACGATTTACCTGTATAGTCGGTAAAATACCCGCCATGAACAACTCTAATGGTGAATCTCCTATCATTTGCTTTCCCATACTCTACTAATGGTGTGTTTTTTGGTGGTTCACTACTTACACTCCAGAGTTGGAACCTCGGATTTGCCCTTGGATCGGCATTCATCTTTGTTTCCATTGATCGTCGGATTTTTTTCACAGATGAGGAGCAAATCGAACTTATCGTAGGTTGGTAATGAAGATGTAAGAATGATGATTTTGAAATAATGGGAGGGTTTAAATGGATTATCATTCGGAACTGAAGGGACATCGACGCAGGCCATCACTTCCGATTACTAGGCGGCTACAGGGGAGGTGCAATTTGAACGACGGTTGTGATAATGATTACCGATATAGTGTTATACATTAATATAATTTTTGCATTAATATATATATATATATATATATATATATATATATATATATATATATATATAATATTAATTAAGTGTAATATCCATACTTGCTTTGTTTTTATTATTACCATACAAAATATAAATTAATATATAAATTAATTAGAAATATATAAAATCATATTTTTAATTAATGGTGTACGGGTCCCAGGTGGTCGGTTGGTGGTACGGGTTGATCGTTACAATGTCAGGTAGGGGTATTGGTATGAGTTTAGGACCAAAATGGGTTTATAGTAGGTGTACGGGTCCCATGTGGTCGGTTGGTGGTACGGGTTGATCGTTACAATGTCAGCTAGGGGTGTTGGTACGAGTTTAGGACTGAAATGGGTTTATATTAGGTGTACGGGTCCTATGCGGTCGGTTGGTGGTACGAGTTGATCGTTACAATGTCAGGTAGGGGTGTTGGTACGGGTTTAGGACCGAAATGGGTTTATAGTAGCTGTACGGGTCCCAGGTGGTCGGTTGGTGGTACAGGTTGATCGTTACAATGTCAGGTAGGGGTGTTGGTACGGGTTTAGGACCGAAATGGGTTTATAGTAGGTGTACGGGTCCCATGTGGTCGGTTGGTGGTACGGGTTGATCGTTACAATGTCAGGTAGGAGTGTTGGTACGGGTTTAGGACCGAAATGGGTTTATAGAAGGTGTACGGGTCCCATGTGGTCGGTTGGTGGTACGGGTTGATCGTTACAATGTCAGGTAGGGGTGTTGGTACGGGTTTAGGACCGAAATGGGTTTATAGTAGGTGTACGGGTCCCAGGTGGTCGGTTGGTGGTACGGGTTGATCGTTACAATGTCAGGTAGGGGTGTTGGTATGGGTTTAGGACCGAAATGGGTTTATAGTAGGTGTACGGGTCCCATGTGGTCGGTTGGTGGTACGGGTTGATCGTTACAATGTTAGGTAGGAGTGTTGGTACGGGTTTAGACCGAAATGGGTTTATAGTAGGTGTACGGGTCCCAGGTGGTCGGTTGGTGGTACGGGTTGATCGTTACAATGTCAGGTAGGGGTGTTGGTACGAGTTTAGGACCGAAATGGGTTTATAGTAGGTGTACGGGTCCCATGTGGTCGGTTGGTGGTACGGGTTGGTCGTTACAATGTTAGGTAGGGTTGTTGGTACGGGTTTAGGACCGAAATGGGTTTATAGTAGGTGTACGGGTCCCAGGTGGTCGGTTGGTGGTACGGGTTGATCGTTACAATGTCAGGTAGGGGTGTTGGTATGGGTTTAGGACCGAAATGGGTTTATAGTAGGTGTACGGGTCCCATGTGGTCGGTTGGTGGTACGGGTTGATCGTTACAATGTCAGGTAGGGGTGTTGGTACGGGTTTAGGACCGAAATGGGTTTATAGTAGGTGTACGGGTCCCATGTGGTCGGTTGGTGGTACGGGTTGATCGTTACAATGTCAGGTAGGGGTGTTGGTACGGGTTTAGGACCGAAATGGGTTTATAGTAGGTGTACGGGTCCCAGGTGGTCGGTTGGTGGTACGGGTTGATCGTTACAATGTCAGGTAGGGGTGTTGGTACGGGTTTAGGACCGAAATGGGTTTATAGTAGGTGTACGGGTCCCATGTGGTCGGTTGGTGGTACGGGTTGATCGTTACAATGTCAGGTAGGGGTGTTGGTACGGGTTTAGGACCGAAATGGGTTTATAGTAGGTGTACGGGTCCCAGGTGGTCGGTTGGTGGTACGGGTTGATCGTTACAATGTCAGGTAGGGGTGTTGGTACGGGTTTAGGACCGAAATGGGTTTATAGTAGGTGTACGGGTCCCAGGTGGTCGGTTGGTGGTACGGGTTGATCGTTACAATGTCAGGTAGGGGTGTTGGTACGGGTTTAGGACCGAAATGGGTTTATAGTAGGTGTACGGGTCCCAGGTGGTCGGTTGGTGGTACGGGTTGATCGTTACAATGTCAGGTAGGGGTGTTGGTACGGGTTTAGGACCGAAATGGGTTTATAGTAGGTGTACGGGTCCCAGGTGGTCGGTTGGTGGTACGGGTTGATCGTTACAATGTCAGGTAGGGGTGTTGGTACGGGTTTAGGACCGAAATGGGTTTATAGTAGGTGTACGGGTCCCAGGTGGTCGGTTGGTGGTACGGGTTGATCGTTACAATGTCAGGTAGGGGTGTTGGTACGGGTTTAGGACCGAAATGGGTTTATAGTAGGTGTACGGGTCCCATGTGGTCGGTTGGTGGTACGGGTTGATCGTTACAATGTCAGGTAGGGGTGTTGGTACGGGTTTAGGACCGAAATGGGTTTATAGTAGGTGTACGGGTCCCAGGTGGTCGGTTGGTGGTACGGGTTGATCGTTACAATGTCAGGTAGGGGTGTTGGTACGGGTTTAGGACCGAAATGGGTTTATAGTAGGTGTACGGGTCCCAGGTGGTCGGTTGGTGGTACGGGTTGATCGTTACAATGTCAGGTAGGGGTGTTGGTACGGGTTTAGGACCGAAATGGGTTTATAGTAGGTGTACGGGTCCCAGTGGTCGGTTGGTGGTACGGGTTGATCGTTACAATGTCAGGTAGGGGTGTTGGTACGGGTTTAGGACCGAAATGGGTTTATAGTAGGTGTACGGGTCCCAGGTGGTCGGTTGGTGGTACGGGTTGATCGTTACAATGTCAGGTAGGGGTGTTGGTACGGTTTAGGACCGAAATGGGTTTATAGTAGGTGTACGGGTCCCAGGTGGTCGGTTGGTGGTACGGGTTGATCGTTACAATGTCAGGTAGGGGTGTTGGTACGGGTTTAGGACCGAAATGGGTTTATAGTAGGTGTACGGGTCCCAGGTGGTCGGTTGGTGGTACGGGTTGATCGTTACAATGTCAGGTAGGGGTGTTGGTACGGGTTTAGGACCGAAATGGGTTTATAGTAGGTGTACGGGTCCCAGGTGGTCGGTTGGTGGTACGGGTTGATCGTTACAATGTCAGGTAGGGGTGTTGGTACGGGTTTAGGACCGAAATGGGTTTATAGTAGGTGTACGGGTCCCAGGTGGTCGGTTGGTGGTACGGGTTGATCGTTACAATGTCAGGTAGGGGTGTTGGTACGGTTTAGGACCGAAATGGGTTTATAGTAGGTGTACGGGTCCCATGTGGTCGGTTGGTGGTACGGGTTGATCGTTACAATGTCAGGTAGGGGTGTTGGTACGGGTTTAGGACCGAAATGGGTTTATAGTAGGTGTACGGGTCCCAGGTGGTCGGTTGGTGGTACGGGTTGATCGTTACAATGTCAGGTAGGGGTGTTGGTACGGGTTTAGGACCGAAATGGGTTTATAGTAGGTGTACGGGTCCCATGTGGTCGGTTGGTGGTACGGGTTGATCGTTACAATGTCAGGTAGGGGTGTTGGTACGGGTTTAGGACCGAAATGGGTTTATAGTAGGTGTACGGGTCCCAGGTGGTCGGTTGGTGGTACGGGTTGATCGTTACAATGTCAGGTAGGGGTGTTGGTACGGGTTTAGGACCGAAATGGGTTTATAGTAGGTGTACGGGTCCCAGGTGGTCGGTTGGTGGTACGGGTTGATCGTTACAATGTCAGGTAGGGGTGTTGGTACGGGTTTAGGACCGAAATGGGTTTATAGTAGGTGTACGGGTCCCAGGTGGTCGGTTGGTGGTACGGGTTGATCGTTACAATGTCAGGTAGGGGTGTTGGTACGGGTTTAGGACCGAAATGGGTTTATAGTAGGTGTACGGGTCCCATGTGGTCGGTTGGTGGTACGGGTTGATCGTTACAATGTCAGGTAGGGGTGTTGGTACGGGTTTAGGACCGAAATGGGTTTATAGTAGGTGTACGGGTCCCATGTGGTCGGTTGGTGGTACGGGTTGATCGTTACAATGTCAGGTAGGGGTGTTGGTACGGGTTTAGGACCGAAATGGGTTTATAGTAGGTGTACGGGTCCCAGGTGGTCGGTTGGTGGTACGGGTTGATCGTTACAATGTCAGGTAGGGGTGTTGGTACGGGTTTAGGACCGAAATGGGTTTATAGTAGGTGTACGGGTCCCAGGGGTCGGTTGGTGGTACGGGTTGATCGTTACAATGTCAGGTAGGGGTGTTGGTACGGGTTTAGGACCGAAATGGGTTTATAGTAGGTGTACGGGTCCCATGTGGTCGGTTGGTGGTACGGGTTGATCGTTACAATGTCAGGTAGGGGTGTTGGTACGGGTTTAGGACCGAAATGGGTTTATAGTAGGTGTACGGGTCCCAGGTCGGTTGGTGGTACGGGTTGATCGTTACAATGTCAGGTAGGGGTGTTGGTACGGGTTTAGGACCGAAATGGGTTTATAGTAGGTGTACGGGTCCCAGGTGGTCGGTTGGTGGTACGGGTTGATCGTTACAATGTCAGGTAGGGGTGTTGGTACGGGTTTAGGACCGAAATGGGTTTATAGTAGGTGTACGGGTCCCAGGTGGTCGGTTGGTGGTACGGGTTGATCGTTACAATGTCAGGTAGGGGTGTTGGTACGGGTTTAGGACCGAAATGGGTTTATAGTAGGTGTACGGGTCCCAGGTGGTCGGTTGGTGGTACGGGTTGATCGTTACAATGTCAGGTAGGGGTGTTGGTACGGGTTTAGGACCGAAATGGGTTTATAGTAGGTGTACGGGTCCCAGGTGGTCGGTTGGTGGTACGGGTTGATCGTTACAATGTCAGGTAGGGGTGTTGGTACGGGTTTAGGACCGAAATGGGTTTATAGTAGGTGTACGGGTCCCAGGTGGTCGGTTGGTGGTACGGGTTGATCGTTACAATGTC